ACTATATAATCAATAGAGCCCCGTCCTAACACCAGAACCTCTGACCCTGGGGCGATGAAATTCACAATTTTTGAAAAGGCATCCTTATGCATCATAACCATGCACTTAGTTTGTTTAAATAATCTCCAGTAGCAGAGAAGAAGATTTTCAAAGAATCAATGCATTTTCACTAAATAATCAATAGAGCCCCGCACTAACACCAGAACCCCTGACCCTGGGGCCATGAAATTCACAATTTTTGAAAAGGCATCCTTATGCATCATAACCATGCACTTTGTTTGTTTAAATAATACCCAGGAGCAGAGAAGAAGACTTTCAAAGAATTAATGCATTTTCACTAATATAAGCAATACAGTCCCGCCCTTACATCAGAACCCCTGACCCAGGGGCGATGGCTTTCACAATTCTGGAAGAGGTCCACCTCCTCATCATAACTATGTACTTAGAATATCACCTTAATGCCCAGGAGCAGAGGAAAAGATTTTCAAAGAATTAATGCATTTTCACTATATAGTCAATAGAGCCCCGTCCTAACACCAGAACCCCTGACCCTGGGGCCATGAAATTCACAATTTTGGAAGAGATACTCTTGCTCATCATAACTATGTATTTAGTTACTTTTATTTAATATCCAGGAGCAGAGAAGAAGATTTTCAAAGAATTAATGCATTTTGACTATATAATCAATAGAGCCCCGCCTAACATCAGAACCCCTGACCCTGGGGCCATGAAATTCAAAATTTTTGAAAAGGCACTTTTATTCATCATAAATATGTACTTAGTTACTTTATTTAATACCCAGTAGCAGAAAAGAAGATTTTCAAAGAATTTATGCTTTTTCACTATATAATCTAATAGAGCCCCACCCTGGGGGCCAGAATCCCTGACCCTGGGGCCATGAATTTCACAATTTTGGAAGAGGCTCTCTTGCTCATCATAACTATGTACTTAGTTACTTTATTCAATACCCAGGAGCAGAGAAGAAGATTTTCAAAGAAATAATGCACTTTCATTATATGATCTATATAGCCCAACCCTGGGGCCAGAACCCCTGACCCTGGGGCCATGAATTTCACAATTTTGAAAGAGGCTCTCTTGCTCATCATAACTATGTACTTAGTTACTTTATTCAATACCCAGGAGCAGAGAAGAAGATTTTCAAAGAAATAATGCATTTTGACTATATAATCAATAGAGCCCCGCCCTAACACCAGAACCCCTGACCCTGGGGCCATGAATTTCACAATTTTGGAAGAGGCTCTCTTGCTCATCATAACTGTGTACTTAGTTACTTTATTCAATACCCAGAAGCAGACAAGAAGATTTTCAAAGAAATAATGCATTTTCACTATATAATCAATAGAGCCCCACCCTAACACCAGAACCCCTGACCCTGGGGCCATGAATTTCACAACTTCAGAAGAGGCACTCTTGCTCATCACAACTATGTACTTAGTTACTTTATTCAATACCCAGGAGCAGAGAAGGAGATTTTCAAAGAATTAATGCATTTTCACTATATAATCAATAGAGCCCCGCCCTAACACCAGAACCCCTGACCCTGGGGCCATGAATTTCACAATTTTGGAAGAGGCACTCTTGCTCTTCATAACTATTTACTTAGTTACTTTATTCAATACCCAGGAGCAGAGAAGATTTTCAAAGAAATAATGCACTTTCATTATATGATCTATATAGCCCCACCCTGGGGCCAGAACCCCTGACCCTGGGTCCATGAATTTCACAATTTTGGTAGAGGGCTCAATGCTTGTTACAATGATGCCAACAGTTTGACTGCTTGATGTCTCGGAGTAAAGAAGAAGATTTTTAAAGATTGCATTATTTTTGGTGGTTTTAGCCCCATCCCTCAGGCCCCGGGGGGGGGGGGGCAGGGACCATGAAATTCATAATTTTTGTTCCCCTTCACCCATAGATGCTATATGCCAAATTTGGTTGAAATTGGTTCAGCGGTCTTAGAGAAGAAGCTAAAAATGTTCAAATGTTAACACACGACGCACGTAAAGCGTAAACTGCCACAATCCAGTTTATATCGTATAAATTTGGTAGCTATTAAATTCATTGCTGAAACAGTTCTTTTTTATGTACTTCTGGTAACAGAATTTATGGGTGTTTTGTACTACCTTTTATTTCGTAAAACGTATTTAACTGAATGATTTTACCGTGCCCATGCTTCTAGAATCGTGTAATAACTAATTTATTCATGGGCGTCGGAACCCGGGGGGTTGGGGGGGGGGAGCTATTCCTCCCCCAGTTTTGTGGCAAAGATAGACATAATATAGGCTTTGAAAATTGGGGCTTTTTTTGTTTGGTTTATTTTGTTTGTTTAGCCACCTCCCCCTACTTTCAATTTGCTTCCGACACCTTTGTTATTTTTTAACAGAATAATTCAGATATATATTAAGAATATTTTTTAGCCAAAAAAAAAAAAAAAAAAAAAAGATAGAACTTCAAATTTAATAATAATTAAGAAGTATATCAGTATTCATTACATTTCCCACATAAGTGCGGATTTTCCGCATATATATAATCACGCTCTTCAAAGCGGGATAACTCTTTAAATGCGAAACTAAGACTGAAAAAAACAAATAATTGTTCCTCCTTTTTCGTTTATATCAAGAAGAAAATGCAATACTCAGGTAATTTTTATCTCTTAATAACTTATTTTAAAGGTATTCTGATTAAAATATATGTAAATTACATAAAATGTAATGTGTAATCAATTTGCCGTAAAATTCCCAGATAAGTGCGGATATTCTGTAAACATATATACATGACAAGAAAAGCGACGTAACTCTTTATAACAACTAGATAATTATTTTTTGCTTCGGCCGTCACAAATCATATTCAATAAAATTCTAGGCGCAACAGTCAAATTTTATTATAAATAATTGAATATAGGTAGAGAGAGAAAAGTATTTTTTTCTGAAGATTTCATTCAATCTCTTTCATCGTTGACCTACTTCTCGTCTTCAAAATTCAGCAAGACACTACCAGTAATTTCCCTTTCTTAAATATATACATATTTTTACTCCCAGATAAGTACTCTCGGATTTAACTGGGATGTATATACAAACCCTTTTTTCATTTTTTAAAAATTAATGATTATTCTAATTTTTTTTCAATATGTATACCACTGACTACGGATGACATTACAATTTCATGTTAATGATCTACATTAAAAAGTTTATTTTACTCAAAAATCACATTTATATTGGTTTCCCAGTTAAGTGTGCTGTTTATCGAGACTCCCAGTTAACGGCGGATTTTCGGTTATATATATATATATATATATATATATATATATATATATATATATATATATATATATATATATATATATATATATATATAGTCTTTTTAAAAAAAAAAACCTCGTATATATAAATTATGGAGGAAAATCAAGAAAAGTAGACCCCTCCTCCCCAATAAATTTGTGATTAACAATATTCTATTATAATTATTCTTTAAAAACCATCATATGGCACGTTAAGCTTAAATGAAATGATACATTGTTCCCTCACTTTTAAGTCAGATTTCTAAAGTGTATATTTTTTTTTTCTAAAATAATGGATTTCTTTACTATTGGTAAAGTTGTAGTAAACTTAATAATAAAAAACAGCCTTGAAAAAGAAAGCGACGAGTGGAGATCTTCCTGAAAAAAAATCAGTCTAAAGAATTTCTTGGATTCAACAAGTGAAAAACAAGAAAATCTTGAAAGGAATATTCATTTTATTAATTAGTAGGGTTTTAAGGTTAAATGAAAATTCAACACTAATCTATCCATTTTTGGCATCAATCCTCTTTTAGATCTTCTGAAGAAATGTCATTTATAAATTCACAGAAGTCCCCGTCTGCGTTCATGTTTCTTACCTGTCAGTCAAGATCACAGGTTCCTGAGTAACATGACTATATATGTATACGCTAAAGTTACGCGTTTATTCGCTAAAGTTTCGCGTTTATTCGCGAAAGTTTTCGCGTTCTAACGCGAAAAATATTTTTTAACCTACGAAAATGAGTTCAATGGGCTTTCGTACAAGACCCTTTTGAAAGTTTGTTCTTTTGTCGTATGTGTAACCCCCCCCCCCCTTACCCGCGTCAAAAAAAAGCTACCAAATTATTTGCCTGCAACGAAATTAAGAAATTAAATGTTTTTTGATTTTAAGAGGAAATACTCCTTCTCCCGATTTACTCCTTCCTCGCCTTTACAGTTTAAAAATTCCTAAATCCGCCACATTTTGTTATTATTGTAAGAACTATGCACACTAACTCTCGATTCTCGCCTACATTTTCCATCCATTTGATTCGATTTATTTACCAACTCCGCATTTATATATCAGACACAGTTTAAAAGTCAATTTAACTATAGAAACGTGGGGTTGTTCAAGTTCAGAATCGGTGAAAATTTTAATTTGAACGTAAATAACAAATATCATGTTAATCTACACTGAATCTCGTACTTTTATATATTTTTTTTTTTTTAGCTATGATACGCCATATATAGCTTTGACAATCAAAAAACAAAAAAAAAAAAAAGAAAAGAAAAGAAATTTTCATATTCTAAGCCAAAAAATTGACAGTACATTTTTTGACAAAAGTTGTGCCATAAATAAGTAAATATTTTCCGATTTACTGTGAAAAACTACAGTGCATATCCACCAGTTTCATGGCCACTGTAGTGAGCGTGAAATTACCCCCAACCCTCCCTTAAAAAAAGAAATAAAAGGGAGAGGATTTGATTGCTATTTTTATCAATTTTTCGATTCATCGTAAAAGTCTGGGTTAAGAAAAGCTCTATATTAAAAGTCTTTACGTGCTAAATGTGCTATTTTAAAAGTTAATTAAATATAATGATTTTTTTATTAATAAAAAATGATAACGTATAAACCTTTAACGAATATCCAAAGAACGAGCTAACACATATTTTTTTGTTTTTTCGGAACCTGTTCCTTGTTAGATTTATGACTTTAACGAAAGGATAAGTCTCGAGAGAGACTTCCGAATTTGCGCCTTATTAAGTTTGAACAACGTGAAATTTTTGAATCACGTTTTAGTCAATTTTAAAGACAACAGATTAAATATTTTATAATATTTCCATTTACTCACGAATTCTGGTTCAATATCCAGCGTTCAGTGTATGGGGATATACAGCAAAAAAGGTTGGAAACAGAACTCTTTCATTCTTCTATTTGTTGGAAATTGTATGTGAATTAACAGTTGCTTATATACATGTTAATTTGTTAAAGAAAGTTATTTGTTCGACTCGTGATATTCTTTTATCATTTGATTTTCTCTTTGTGTAAGTATGATTCAAATGTTGAAGGAATGATTATGTCATTTTTCATTTTTTTAACCCAGAGAATGGAGGTATCTGATGGTAATTTACAGACTCTGGGTGGATATCTGCAGCAAACTCTCTCGCCAGATCCCGCCGTAAGAAAGCAAGGTACTAACAAAGTAACGTTTTATCAACAGTATTCCCATATATATTTGGTACTGATAATTATCTCTCAGAAGTTTCAAATAAACATGTTACAATTGTACATGGTTCACACTATCTTAATGAATTTTAATTTTTATCAAAGTCTCCTACTTGAACAAAAAAGAAAAAAATGTGAATACTGTATGTAACATCAACTGATCAAAAGAAATAAAATCTTATTCAAAATAACCACATGCCAGAATGAAGTATCATGCATTGCAGCATTTCATTAGAGTTTGATCACATAATCTTGATAATGTAGAAATCTGTTTTAATTGTTCTCAGAGCAGTGATTCATTTTGGTGTGCGTCCTGCGTATATCATGCACAAATTTTGCCCAGGACGCATTATTTCAATAAATGTGCATCCCAATGGACGCAATAAATTTATAGAAGGACATGTACTATTTTAAATTATTTCGGTATAATCTGATTCAAAACTTGACCGATTGCATCATATCCACGTGCTAAGCAATATGCATGAATGATTCTAACAGGTATAAGGTTGCCAACAACAGGTCAGATTTCACAACTGCAGTTAAAAGAACATCAGAAAATATTTGAGAGTTAGATAGCATAGTTCGATTATCACTGATTATGTCTATACCGTGGATCGAACGTTTCTGAAGCGAATACTATACCTTTGTATTTAAGCTGTAACCTGTATCATTGTTTTTTTTTTCTTTTCGTTTTTCCTTACAAGCTAAAAAGTATAAAATTTAATCATTTTTATTTCTGACTATTTGTCATTTCTTCTTAAACTTTTTTTTTTACTTCATTCTGCTTCTGTGCATTTTATGACTGATACAATGTGTGAGATCGTATGTATGATCTAAAAATAGAACCAAAGTGCACAGTGACACAAAATCATGTACTCTTACTTGGACAATTGATAGTAAAAGTATAAATCGCTCACTGCCACAATAAAACATTTGCACTTTCGTGCAATACCCTTTTTTATTTCACCAGAATTTCCTCTGTAACATCTAATATACGGTACCCTTGGATTTGGACGCATTGATTTTGGCACGGGACTCATTGTTGTCATTAAGAAGGATCCTTTGGACCCATGATAACCATTTTCAAAACGATAAATCATCATAGTGACTTAACATTGTATCAATAATTTTTTTTTTCAGCTGAGCAGTTTTTGGAATCTGTAGAAGCCAATCAGAACTATGGACTTCTTCTTTTAACACTGTTGGACAAAGATGGAGTTGAGCCACATATTCGAGTCAGTGCTGCTGTAACATTCAAGAATTTCATCAGAAGAAACTGGAGAGTGGTAGCTATTTTTATTTGTTGCAGTTAAACTGAGAGAAAAAAAATTGTCTTTTAATCCATGAATATGCTATTTTCAATTCAATTTATTAACATCACCATAAATCATCTATCTAAATATTTACATAAACATTTTGAAGTACATATAAGTATTATAATTCATGGGTTAACAAGTTAAGGGATCAGTACCACAGTATAGCTTACCATTAAAAATATTGAAATTGAAGTTTGTCATGAACAGGACAGTTAGTGCAAAATGTTCGTTTTCAGCTTATAATTTACAAGCATGGTTTTACATATTTAAAACGTTTTTCCTTTTTCCTTAATGTAGATTGATACAAACAAGATTCATGACAATGATCGTAACACCATCAAACAACAAATTGTTGGACTGATGTTGAAGAGCCCAGAACAAATTCAAAAACAGGCAAGTACTCCTACAATTAGAAAGCCATTGTCATTTTTTCACCTAGAAAATGACTCATAAATATCTTGAAGATTGATGAAATTTTTGTACTACCAGTATATATAGCTGAACTAAATGCAGAATAAGCAGGCCTCTAAGTGACCTCTAAAATTTAGGCGCCAGCTGGCTCCTGATAAAAAAAAATTAGTCACCAATGCAAATTTTTAGTCACCAGGCAAAATTTTCGTAGGCGCCAATTTAAAAACTGATATTAGCCAACATACAGACCCATTGGATTAGTCCCAGGAAGGTGTGGGTCTATTGCAATTGTGAAGAAAAAATCAGCAGTAAATATAAGCCAGCTAAATGCCAAATGGATTTAACTTAAGCATGCATGTTAAACTCCATCGTCTCAAGCCAATGTTCGTAGTCTTCATATAGCATGTATAGCTTTCTCTTCTACCGGCCAAAATGGAAGAGGATTGTACAATTATTGCCATTGTTTGATATGATGTTAAAACTCGTATTCAAAAAGTTTTATTGGATCATTTCTTTTAAAGAAACTTTGATTTTATGAAATATTCTTTCAAGCTATACATGTAATAATACCAAGTATTGTTTACCTGATTTACATTTTATACTGCTTTGTACAATTACGACCTAGCATAAATGTCTAGCCTATATTATTTCTAACGAGTGAGAATTTAATTGACAAAAAACTAAACACATCACCCGTCCAAATTGCGTTTCACAATTGTCAATTTTCTGCATGAGCCGACCATTACCTAGGAGTTCTATTGTTTTATGTGGTCTACCTGAGCTCTCTGTGCACTGACGCGATGCGAAATTTCGTTTGCTTGCGCATGACTGAAAAAACAAACAAGGGGACAAAGAAAGCACAAGACATGTTCATTGCTTACTTTTAAAATGCTTTCTCCTCTGTAGAAAAAAAAATGTTGAAAAATTTACAGTTATGAAATTTAATGACCGCCAAGTCAATTTAAAATGGTCACCAATTTGGTGACTTATAGAGAAATTTAAGGTGCCAATCAAAATTTTTTGGCACCAGAGTGACTGAATTAGTTGCTTATTAGAGCCCTGGTAAGTCCCTGTATTTAACATTTTTAGTTGAGTGATGCTATCAGTATAATAGGAAGAGAGGACTTCCCTGACAAATGGCAAAACCTTATCACAGAGATGGTGGAGAAATTCCAGACTGGAGATTTTTATGTTATTAATGGAATTCTTCACACTGCACATTCCTTGTTTAAAAGGTAAAATGATAGATTGTAAGATTTAGTTTGGAAAGCAGTGATATATAAATTCCTACTTTTCTGAGTTCCTATCATCAAAAGATTTATAAATACATTTTAGTTTCATAATCTTATGTTTTTTTCCTCCCAGATATCGGCATGAATTTAAATCCCAGAAACTTTGGGAGGAAATCAAGTTTGTTTTGGAGAATTTTGCCAAGCCCTTTACAGAACTCTTCAATGTAAGTGTATCTTTTGTAGGTGACATAACAGAGTGCATTCTAAATCATATTGTTGTTCAGTTTACCAAGTATCATCCTTGTTTGTTTTATATTCATAGGCAACAATGGATTTGGCAACAAAACATGCTTCAGAGCCAAGTGCATTAAAAGTCATTTTCAGTTCTATAGTTCTTATTTGCAAGATTTTCTACAGTTTGAATTTTCAGGTAAGTGTTGATATCAAGTGAATAAATACATATAATAGGTGAAAAGAAAATTTTTAGCATGGAGTAACAATGTTTATGTATTTGAATCCATATACAGTTGAACAATGATATCTCAAATACCATGGATATGTTGACTTGAAGTAATTTGAAAGTCCCAATTCTTCATTCTTTAAGTATTTTTCCCTGGATATCTCAAGTCCTTGGATATCTCGAAGTTTTTTTCTCAGTCCCATTGAGTTTGAGATAAGGAGGTTTTACTGTATTTATTCCAATTCATAAAATGCATGGAGCAGAACATTATTGTGAAAGCAATGAAATTTTACAGGATTTGCCTGAACATTTTGAAGACAACATGAGTATATGGATGACACATTTTCTAACATTGCTAAGTGCAGACAATAAACTTCTACAGACACAAGTAAGTTGTCAAATTATATTCCAGTAAGAGAAGGGATAAGTTCTGTTTTGAAAAAGTTGATTTTTATTGTCTTTCGTGTATGAATTGATCATATTAATCAAGCCAAGCATACATTTTCACTTTGACTCTTCTAAAATTTAATTTTTATATTTCATCAATAAAGAAGAAAATATTTACTCTATGTTAAGGATGAAGAAGAGGCCGGGTTACTGGAGCAGGTAAAATCTCAGATCTGTGACAATGTTGCCCTGTATGCCCAGAAATACGATGAGGAGTTCTCTCCCCAGTTACCTGCCTTTGTCACAGCAATCTGGAATCTTCTGATCTCAACAGGACTGCAGGTCAAGTATGATGATGTAAGTTGGAGTGTTTTTGTTAAAATAATCTTGGTATAGGAAGTTTAAAGGCTATACCATGGTTATGTTACATGTAAATAAGGAATCTCTTGTTCAGTTGTATAAAAAAGCTTTTTTACATACATGTACAGACGTGTGCCATAATTTAACAGCAAATTCCAAGATGGCGTCGCTCAAGCGTGAAGCGTAATGTAAACAATAAACATAAAATAAGTAAAAAAAAATAACTTACCGATGTTTAATATTTTGTCATTTCACCTTTGACCCTCAAAACTTTCCTCATGCGTTTCGGCAGGGAATTATATAGCCCCTGTATATATTCCAAAGGGAGATTTCGCCATACATCTACAATAGCCCTGGAAAGTTCATTGGGGGTAGTGCTATTTTCCACACGATGTTGCAATCTCTGTTTAAGTGTTAGCCACACATTCTTAATAATATTTAAATCAGGTGACTGTGCAGGCCAGCTGATACAATTAATATTGTTCCTTGCTTTGTAATTTTCGACATCTTGGGCTCGGTGGATCGGGGCATTATCGTCTTGAAGTAAAAAGTTTTGGTTCAGAAAATGTGTAGCTATAACGGGCCACAAGTTGTCCTCAAGGATATCTATACACTTGTGTCTATTCACAGTTCCATTTATGGTTGTAATTGTACCCACACCGTAATATGTTATACATCCCCAAATCATAACCGAGATTCTTCGTTGGGACGGGGGGCAGACACAATCAGGGGACTCCGCTTCATCCTTTCGGCGCCATATATAGAACCTATTGTTTTGACCCAAAACAACTTGACTTTCATCATAGAAAATTACTCTATCCCACTGACCATTCACATGCCAATAAAGTTTTCCTCGACACCATGCTAATCGCTTTTTACGATTCACCTCTTTCACACGGACTTTCTTTTTTACTATGCGTCTATGGTAACCTTCCCGGTAAAGATATCTTTGGACAGTTCTTTTAGACACTTCCCAAGGTCTAAAGGTATTAAACTGGGTGGTAATTTCTTTCAGTGGAGTTTTCCTGTTGGTCCTAGCAAGCTGAACAAGCGAACGACTATCCCTCACTGACAGTAAACGTGGGCGTCCAGTTTGAGGCAAATTCTCTACTACACCTCTGTTTAAAATGAGAGATAACTCCTGTAACAGTTCCTCTTGGAATGTTCAAATCATCAGCAATCTGTTGTAACTTATATCCCTTTTCTCGCATATCTACGATGACATTTTTAATGACAAATGTTTACGGTTTTCAGTCATGATTAAATACACTATGTAAAAATTTCCAGAGGCAGACGACAACCAAACATCCGGTTTGAATTTAAAAACGGAAGTAAGAATAACCAGGAACTAAAAATAGATATGTGTTTCCCCAAGAATATAATGTATACCGAGCTTGTTTACATTAGGCTTCATGCTTGAGCGACGCCATCTTGGATTTTCGCCATTAAATTATGGCACACGTCTGTACATGTAATTGTTTTGAGAAGAAGAGCAAAAAAGTAATTGTAAATGCTAAACCATTGTGGTTTTGAAACCATGAACTTCAATGTACAGAAATATCATTTTCAATATCATTCTCAAGACACCTTGTCATGTGTTTTTTCCCAGTTGGTGAGCAATGCCATTCAGTTCCTGGCTTCCGTTGCTGAGCGACCATCTTATAAACATCTGTTTGAAGATCCTTCTACTCTGGCCAGTATTTGTGAGAAAGTCATTGTTCCCAACATGCAGTTTAGAGGTAAGTTTTAATTCTCAAAACTGAATGTACACTAGATTGCTAGAAAAACAAAGTTGAATGTACACTAGACTGCTAGAAAAACAAAGTTGAATGTACACTAGACTGCTAGCAAAAAAAAGTTGAATGTACACTAGACTGCTAGCAAAAAAAAAGTTGTGAATATTGATAGTGGCACAAGAGATGTATGGATTGTTAGATGATATTTGGATTGTTGGTTGATATTTGAATAGTTGGACGATATTTGGATTTTTGGTTGATATTTGGATCGTTGGATGATTTTGGATTGTTTGTTGATATTTGAATTGTTGGTTGATATTTGGATTGTTGGATTATATTTGGATTGTTGGTTGATATCTGGATTCTTTCTGACATCTGTTTTAATGATTTCTTTCCAGATGCTGATGAGGAGTTGTTTGAGGACAATCCAGAGGAATACATCAGGAGAGACATTGAAGGATCAGGTAATGGTTCTGCCCTCAAGAATACACACGTAAAGAATAAATACTAAAGGTTACTTTATTTGGACTTTTAGAGATGTATGTTTCTGATATACATGTAGTTTGTAGAGAATAACTATTATAATTTCATGTTTATATCATTTCATGTACATGGATAATGTACTTTTTTCCTTAAAAATAAAAATTGTCCTTTGCATAATGAACAGTCCCAAAATATGATAAAAATGTAGGAAATTGTCAGTAAAGGATTTACCTGGGAGAAAAATGTTTATGTCATAAAAATTTTCTTTAGCACACAAGTACATTAAAGGTTTATACTGATATTGAAGAGGTGAAAGTTCCTTTTTTCTTGTTCTCTTTATCCTTATCTGTCCACAACTTTTTTTATGAGCAAAAACTTTTGGACTGAATGACAAAGACATCCCTTGATTTAAATGGTCAATGTATTCATAGAGCTCTAGTCACAGTTAGAATTAGGCTTTGCCATGGTGTATTGCATTTCATATGTAATTTGTAAAGTTGATTTCCATTGTAGATGTGGACACGAGAAGAAGAGCTGCCTGTGACCTTGTTCAGGCTCTTTGTAAATCATTTGAAGGGCCGGTCATCCAGAACTTCTCTCAGTATGTCCAGGGTCTCCTACAGGTAAGTCAAATGTCTATCTGTGTGTTTACTTCTACTTATGCTATGTTTGGAAGACTTGCACCCTTAAGGACCTCATTTCAAATTAGATCTGTGCTTTTGTTAATCACTTGTTTAGAAATACATGTAAATGGCATATATTTCTGCAGGAATATGCCACTAACCCTGCACAAAACTGGAAGGCTAAAGATGTAGCCGTGTATTTAGTGACGTCATTAGCAGCAAAGGCTCAAACACACAAGGTGAGTCTCTCTCCGTAACTTCCTTTCTTTTATAAGATACATATTTCTTGTAAATAAATATAATTAATACTGTTTTTTTTCAGCATGGAATTACGCAAACAAGTACCCTTGTCAACATCACAGACTTCTACCAAGCTCACATTTTGCCAGATATTCAGAATCCTGATGGTAACATTGATGTTTAGAAAATTTTTTGTTTCATTCTTAAATATTTAACATACTCTGTTTATTCAGTAAAAAGACATTGTGAAAAATTTATGGCTCGTTGCTTGATTGTGTGGTTTGCACAAAGTTGTAAGTTGTGATTTACATATTATATTCTTTCATATCATATAAAGTCACTTTTTGGGAGTTGGGTTTTGGTTCAAAACTCTGGTTCCGACTTATTAGCAAGTCCTAGAAAATTAGGTGTTTTGCTGAAAGAGGAAATATATAGTAGTTATGTAACAACTCGAATGGTAATTGAGTATAAAAGATCAGTATTTGATCTAATGTAGGAAAAGGAAGATCTCATGACATCATGTGCCTAAAACAGGAATGCTTACAAATTTTAATGATCTTATATTTGTGTAAATTGTTAATAAAGTATCAAGTATCAATGTCATTCCCCATAACGTACTTTGAAACACAGTTAAATACAATAAAATATAAATCTGAAATTGGCAACAGATTCTGTCAAAAAATCATACCGACTTATAAGGGAGTTAATGGTGAATTACTCCAAAACAATCTGAAAAAATACAACTGACTTGTAAGCCAACTGACTTATAGGGGAATATATACAGTACTTGGAAATCTTGAAAACCATTTTATTTAGCAACTGTTATCAGTTAAATTCAAATCGGAATATTCATGTATCTATAAACTATATTACTTGATGTACTTGACTAAATGTAGAATTTGACTCTTCTCTTGTCTATATTTATCCTTATTCCTATATTTATTTATCATGTTTGAAGAACAATTACAGAACATATATGTATTTTACAGACAGTGCAAGCCCAATATTAAGAGCTGATGCCATCAAATACTTAATGATATTCAGAAATCAGGTATAATTAAGTAACACTGCATGTTTAATTGAAATGATCTGGTTACTGATATGAATCTGAAGTAAGATGAAATGACAAAAGTATCATTAAAACATGTAATTTAGCAGCTATTGAATAATGAATCTGAAGTAAGATGAAACGACAAAAGTATCATTAAAACATGAAATTCAGTAGCTATTGAATAATATTGTTAAAGAAATCAACAGTGATAGAATCATAAGATTTTTTAACTTCCTCTAGCAGATTTTTAGAATCTTAGATATGAAAATGCATATATTGAATCTGTAAGCAAGAAGTATTATAATGCACCCTTACTTTCAAATATGTTGACAGCAGGGCCTTTTTGAGAGGAATGTATTCTTAATTTTGATGCTGCTTGCTTATAAATGTCTGAATTTGCTTTGCCTGTCTATTATCTCTGATTAAATCATTACAAGATGTTACACATATACAGTTCCCATTGATACATATAGACAAATATACAGTACATCTCTTTATTGTGTGATTTCACCAGCTCCCTCCCGAGGCTTTGGTGGGTAGTATTCCTCACCTGGTGCGCCTCCTAAAGGTCCTCAGTGTAGTCGTCCATTCCTACGCTGCCCACACCATTGAGAGGATCTTTATGGTCAGAAAGCAGGATGGAAGTGGCCCAGTGTAAGTCACTGTATTAAAATTTAAAAAAAAAAATAATAACAAAATTCCTTATGAAATGAAAAATAATATTGGTAGAAATATGCAGAGAGTATCTTTTCTTTCAGTGTGACACATGGTCAAATTCAAGGCTGTGTCAATGATCTCATGTCCAATCTTATTGGAGCTATGAACCATCCTAGTTCATCAGAAAACGAATATGTTATGAAAGGTAAAAATTTATGACTGATTCTTAATTTTTATAAACAGAAAATTGTAGAAGGAATTAAAGTTTTAACTTAGGAATTAAAAATAAAAAGAATTTAAGTGCATATTTACAATCTGTACATGTATATATGAGAATTTAGTCAGGCCATCTTTAAAAAAATTGTTTGTTTGCCCTCTCCCGACTGACTGATGAAAAACCGGACCAACTCAAAACTTCTTTTAACCTCCAGGAAACTTATAATATTGTTGATTCATTCCACTGTTTTTTCACCTATTAGTAATTTTTGCAAGTGTTTTTGAATTAAAAAAAATTTCCCCCTACCTACCTACTCAATTTTTTTATTCTGAGTTGGGAGAGGGCAAGCAAACATTCTTTTGAAGATGGCCTCATGGTTTTGGTATTTAATGATGCACTTGAATGAATGTCGTTGCAGCTTTGATGAGAAGCATGTCAACATTACAAGAAGATCTGCTGCCTTTAATGGGACAGCTTCTGAAATTCCTCACTGAAAAGCTTGGTCAAGTCAGTAAGGTACGCAAAAACAATCTATTGCTAAAAATTCAACTTCTTTAAGAATCATCAACTTATGCATAGAATATACTTTGTAAAAAAAATTATATGAACCCCATTTGCTAAGTTTTCCAGCTTGTATCTGAATCCTTTTTAATATATATATATATATATATGTATATTTACATGTTTATATATTTATATATATTATATATTTATATATTTCTTGTAGATTTACATATAAATTGTGGTTTAGTTAAACTAAATTTTTAAAAAATAAATTCTTATACACACATGAACATGGGACCGAGATTGAGGAATTTTATTTGTAGAATCCCAGCAAGCCCCACTTTAATCACTACCTATTTGAATCTATATGTGTGGGAATCAGAACAACCTGTAAACACAGTCCAGGGGCAGTGGTTCAGTTTGAACAAGTCTTGTTTGAACCGTTCACATACATACTACAGCAAGATATCCAAGGTAAGAGACTACATAGAGAAAGTTAAATAAAAACAAGGGTAATGTTTGATATGCATTTTAATGTTTTGGCTTGCAATATTAATGGTTGATTCAGCATTTAAGGAAGAAAATTTCTGTGCCTGATATTTCAATATGCTTGCAGAATTCTCACCGTATGTCTTTCAAATCCTGTCTCTGTTAATCGATCACCACCAGGAGGGGAAAGTTGCTGACACATACATGGCATTGTTCCCCCACTTGTTGGCCCCTGCCCTGTGGGAGAGGCCAGGCAACATCCCCCCTTTGGTTCGTCTTTTACAAGCTTACATAGAGAAGGGAGCCAAGCAAATAGAGGCAGAGAAAATTGTAAGTAGGAGTTGTAGAGTATGATTTTAAATCCATCTGAGACTTTCTTAATTTTTCTGTAGTGATCTTTTTTACTCTGGATACTGTAATTCTAAGATTTCTGTTCTCTCTTGCTCTCCAATCGGTTTTTATTTTAGGTCACCTAAGTCACTCAGGTGACCTATTGCTATCTGTGTTCATCTGTCGTCATGTAATATGTTATCCATTAACATTTGAACATTTTCAGCTTCTTCTCTGAAACTGCTCATCCAGTACCAACCAATTTTGGTATATAGCATTTATGGATAAAGTAGAATACAGATTGTGAATTTTATGGTCTCTGCTCCCCTGAGGCCTTAGGGATGGAGGTAGAACCATCAAAATTAATTTAATCTTTAAAAATCTTCTTTACTCTGGACATCAAGCAGTGAAACTGTTGGTATATTGTGAAAATTGTGAAATTCGTGACCCCCAGGGTCTGGTGTTAGGGTGGGGCTCTATTAATCTTATAGTGAAAATGCATAATTTCTTTTAAAATCTTCTCTGTTCCTGTATATTTTGTTGACAAACTAGGTGCATGGTTAAGATGGGCAAGGGTCCCTTTTCAAAAATTGTAAAATTTATGGCCCCAGGGTCATGGGTTTTGGTGTTACAGTGGGGCTGTATTGATCAAATAGTGAAGATGCATTAATTATGCATTAGCTATAGAAAATTTTTTAATTTGTTATACAAATGTACTTTGATATTTTTTTAGGGTCATGAAGATTGTAAATAATGAATAAATAAACATTACACAAAAATACTTTATAAAATATTTTTGATGTAAAGAGCAGGAGAGAATGATTTAAAAGGATATATGTAGGGTTTACTATGGGTAATTAAACACTTTTGTGCCATTAAGTATGTTGATAGTGATCCGGGGGGGGGGGGGGGGGGGGTTATACTCATTATACTTAGGTGACATTTAAGGCCAATGTGCCTCTTGTTTTATTAAGAAAATCAAATTCTTTATTTTTGATACATGTATGTTCCATTGCATTTCTGTCTCAACACCACCCACTAAATAATTATTTTGTAACCTTTTTATGTTTGTCTTTTTTATAAAAAATATCTTTTAACTTTTAATTGATTTCCTTGTATTTCTGTACCAGAATGGGTTGTTGGGGATATTCCAGAAATTAATAGCCTCCAAGACAAACGATCACGAGGGATTTTATCTCCTTAATTCCATGCTGGAGTTTATGCCAAGGTAAAAGTTCCTTGCATTGTGTTATAATTTTTATTAAACAACTTGTATGGAAACATTTAGTTGTCAAAAAGTAAAGAAGATGCACTGGCATGCTTGTAAGAAAGTTTTATTACACTTTTGATAAAGACTTTTTTTTTTAAATATTTGATGTATACATGTATCTGTTAGAATAATCTATGGAGAGAAACTTCAATTGTTTTGCATGTTTGATTGAACTTTATTCCAGAGAGATGTTAGATCAGTACCACAAACAGGTCTTCATTCTTCTGTTTCAAAGACTATCCAGCTCAAAAACTACAAAATACATCAAAAGTAAGGCTTGTGAACATTCTAGAGGCATAATAAAATCACAATTGTTTGTCAGAAATATTGTGTGTCATTTAATATTAATACTGAAATACTGTTGTACTGAAATACTATTACAGAATGTATTGTATGTTGTTGTATTTTCTTTTTCTTCATTCTTTAGGTCTTCTTGTATTCTTTTCAATGTATGCTTCCATCATTGGAGCCAGTCAGTTAATAGAAATCATTGATGGAATTCAACCAAGGTAGAACATTTTATGATCAGGTCTATCTCTGAAGGCTTTGGCCTTGTACATTTTGAATACTAATAATAAGATAATTACCTGTTTTATTTTGAAACAGGTGTACAATCTTATTTGATGATACGAGCATATTTTGTAATTTTCTAGGATGTTTGGGATGGTGATAGAGAGGTTGTTTCTACAGGACATGCAGAAAATCTCTGGTGACGTGGAGCAGAAGATCTGTGCTGTTGGGGTGACCAACATTCTAACGGAGGCTCCGGCCATGTTACAGAATTACGAGGCTTTCTGGTAGGTGGCTGTAAACATGGTGAAGAACAGAGTGGTCGTAGTGAGTAGTGGACAACAGCAGTAGTCATAGATACTAGCTGGATTGTAGTCATGGTGACAAGTGGATTTAGTGAACAATATAGTGGTTGTAATGGTAGGGTGACTGTCATCAATTGTTGTCATTGTCATAGTGCCTGTTGTATAATGTATTCAATTAAAGGCTGATGTACTTTAGAAGTCTGGCTGGTCACTGCAGTTTGTAGGGAATCATTTCACTATGTGGTTTAGATTTTACAGCAAAAAAAGTTTTTTTTTTACAGATCTCTATCAGCCAGTAGTGAAACATCTAAAAGATGGATGTTTTTCAATATACATATATCAATTTAAAGTTTAATGTTGATATATTTTTGCATGTATTCTTTTTATATTTTAAACAGGTGCAAACTACTTCAGGCAGTTATTAGTTTATTTGAATTACCAAAGGATGAATCTACACCTGATGATGAACATTTTATTGAAATTGAAGACACTCCAGGTATTCCTAATTATAGACATTCTAATTTATAACTGGATTTTTGGAATTCATTACATTTTTTATTATAATAGGTAATTTTACTTAACTTTCACTGAGTTTATGTTTGTATTCCTATTCATGCTTATTCTTGTAGGCTACCAGACAGTATACTCACAGTTGGCATTTGCCGGCAAGAAAGAAAATGACCCTTTTGCAAAGTCAGTACCTGATGCAAAAATTCACCTAGCCAAACAACTAGCTAAGCTTTCAGCAGCAAATCCTGGAAAGGTTTGTAGTCTTTCATCAATCAGAAAAAAGTCATCTGTTATATATATGTATCTACATGTATGAAAGTTTTAGTCATTGCTTAATTGATCATCTTGTATACAGAAGTTTTTATCATCAGTAGGTAAGCCCGTTATGCATAAATTATCCCACATTTCCAACTATTGTTGATGTCCCTGGCATACCCAACAAACTAGACAGTGATTCCTTATATTTACATTTCTTTGTGAAATAAAATTGTATTTATAAATTTTAAAAAATATGCTCTCTAAATAGATTCAAAATACACGAGGCCTCCCATGTTAATTTCAAGAGTCCCAGCCCACTGATGTCAGACACACAGACAGCTACAGGAGCTCGACATGCATATTAGGCTCCTTACTTTTCACTTGGCGAAAATAACATTCAGATTTATTAATCAAGAAATCAACTCACCCAACTTTTAAAGATTATCATGGAGAAAACAATTAGAAATAGAGAGAGGTGGGGGGGGGGTTAAACTGGAAAATCTTAAATTATTGAAGTAAATTAAGGAAAATAATATTTGTCCAAAGAACGAGGGCGCTTTTGATTGACATTCGGCAGGAATCAGGGCGCACTTGAAAAGTGAAAACTATTGAACTGTAAGATTAAATTTTAATGGTCTTTTGATGTATTATGTTCCCAAGAAATAGGAAAGGAAAATATTTTCCCTGTAGTGTGTTTTCATTCAACTAAAAGTAACTTGAAACATGGTTAGATGAGTCATTTTGGTACAAAATGTTACATTTTTAAACACGTTTTTCTAAAAATTGGCCATCTCTGGGTCATCTCTCCACGATTTTATAAAGACATTTGTGTGCATTTGTATTCAAAGAAATGAACAAATATTTGTAAAAAATAGAGAGAAGACCAAGAGACTATAAAAATGAACTTTTTCCAAAAAAAAAAAAACCAATGTGTAAATGCGTTGCTTCTTTGTCATTTTAAATTCCAGATTGTTTGTGTAGCGATGATAGCTCAGTAGTATGCGTTACCAGTCCACCGCACTTAGGAGTCGAGAAATTTTTGGTTCGATCCTCGCATGGAGCAATTTATTATTATTTTTTTATACCAACAATCGAGTCGTTTATCAGTTGAATTTTATTTACTGATTTATATGTTTTAAAAGAGATAAATTTCAGTTGCACGGGGAGCGAAAGCTATTTATCAAACCTACTGAAACTTCATTTCATATATCATACCTATTATCTTGTTAGGTGTTTATTATTTATGTGAAGTATTACTGTGTTATCGTAACTATTAAGATAAGTGGACTAAAATATTTTAAAATTTGAAAGCTATTTCAATGTAAATCTAAACATTTTCCTATATTTGTAACTTTGTAAAGTCTGTCCACTTCTGGTTAGCCGACCAAATTGTGGACATTTAAACCACAAATGTTTCGTACGCATGATTCCTGCAGATCGCACGCCAAGTACGCCCATTTTCTTTGATATGTAAACGATTATATTCTGAATGTTATCTCAGTAGTACCGCCAATGTAATGAAATAAAATCTCAATTTACTCCCTATACTGTTGTGACTATAATTTGATTGTTTTTTTTTTTACTCTTTCAGATAGGACCACTGATAAGAGCTGGTCTAGAGGAAGGAGCTCAAACGTTCCTACAGAAATATTTTGCAGCAGCCAATGTTTCCATAGCATGATCCTACCATAGTCTTAAAGGCTAGGAAAATTGTGACAGTTTATGGATATTCTCAGGCATTTTTAAAAAAAATGTTGTGCTGTCATTTCCAGTCCGGTCTGTTCAACAAGTATGACTTGCCTTTAATGTTCTGTACATTGCTGATTAGTGAAAGGCATTGGGTGCAGAAGAGCAAATGTTCAAATCTAATTAGACCTCTGGTGTCAATCTAGCAAGTGCTTTGTTATCTTTTGCAAATAAAATTTGAAATCAAACTTTTTCAAATACATTTTTCACTGCCTGTAATAAGCATACTGAAACTATGAAAACTATTTGTTTATATTATATATTTATATACAAATAAATTGAAAATATTTTTACACTGCAGGTAGTAAATAAAATTGATGTTTGAACACTAAGGGTTAAGCTCAGTGTTAGATGTGTTCATGGCATCAGAAGAAAAAAAAATGTAGATGGCATGGCTCCAGGATCATGATGCATCTTATGTTTAAGTCAGAAAATGTACATGGTGCTGACATTATTTAGAAATTAAGCGGTCCAAAATGAAAATAATTTCCAATTTTGCATCAATCTGCTGTCATAAGCAAATTAAGTGTTTCATTTAAGGACAGATGTTACGTTCCTCAATAATATATAATATTTTCTAAGATTTTGTCATTGAAGTATTGCTACTTTAACAAGTTTCCTCACAAAAAATTGAGGTACCTTACCGGGCATTTGTGTAAGATACCAGAGGATGTTGTTTCCTATAAAATCCTTTTGGAAAAAAGTTAATTTGCCAATATCACATTTTTTAGTGTTTCAATTTTTTAAAGACAATTAGAAACAAGTTTAGAAATCAGAAGGTAATTAAAATTTGGAATATTTTCCATACAATACGAAGATATACAAAACAGATATTTGAGGAACGTATCGTCTGACCTTAACAAGTTTGAAACATTTTATAGATGATTGAAATTTTGACTTGAGGGAGCCAACTGGGGTTTTATTGTGTGAAAACTACTATAGAGAATCTCTTTAATTTTATACCATATGTACCTTACATTGACTTCAGGATACATGCCAAGTTTAGAGAAAATCTACCATCTGGTTATTTTTTAGGGAACATCTCAAAATACAGGTACATTTACTATAGGATTATATAGGAAAATACTATTTTTTTGCACTTCGAAACAAATTATACAAATGCTACTGTAGACTTTTTGCTCAAATTGTATTATTTGATAAGTAATACTATATTGTACATTCTGTGCAAGAAACACAAAATTCTACCGTCTGGTTTCCAGAGGGGGCATCTCAAAATTCATGATATTTTCCTGTTTTTATGGAGTACTACAAAACATGACAGATACCACAGATTTATATAAAAAATGATAGTGAGATTCTCAATTTCTTATGTTTAAAATTTCAAGAGCATCTATTTCATACATTTTATTTTATGACAAAAGTAATGACCCCTCTTAAAGACCTTCGGTTATTCATAACATCAAAAACACACTATTACGAAGTCTACCTACCCATCATTTGAAAAATCTTTTAAAAATCAGTTATTTAAAATCGTAATTAGATTTTTAAACCTGAGATTCCCTAATTTTGTTAATTTTTATAAATTATGTAAAAACAGTTGATTTCAAAGAGAAAATATGCTTTATTTTACTATGTTGCGCGAAGTATTGCACAATGAAAACCCCAGTCGGCCCCCTTAAGTCTGTTTCATGATCCTGGGGCATGGTGTATTTATGGATCATTGATGTATCAAGATACTGCATTAGACCAATTTTTAGCTCACCTGATCCGAAGGCTCAAGTGAGCTTTTCTGATCACATTTTGTCCGGCGTCCATCTGTCTGTCTGTAAACTTTTCACATTTTTGACTTCTCAAGAACCACTGGGCCAAATTCAACCAAACTTGCCACAACGCATCCTTGGGTGAAGGGGATTCAAATTTGTTCAAATGAAGGGCCACGCCCTCTTTCAAGGGGAGATAATTAGGAATTAGTGAAAAAATAATGGCATCATTTAAAAATTTTCTTCTCAAGAACCAATGGGCCAGGAAAGATGAAACTTATGTGGAAACATCCTCAGGTAGTGTAGATTCAAGTTTGTTCAAATCATGACCCCCAGGGGTAGGGTGGGGCCACAATGGGGGATCAAAGTTTTACATAGAAATATATAGGAAAATATCTTTAAAAATCTTCTTCTTAAGAACAGTAAAGCCATGATTGGTCATATTTATATGGAAGCATCCTCAGAAAGTGAAGATTCAAGTTTGTTCAAATCATGACCCCGGGGGTAGGGTGGGGCCACAATGGGTGATCAAAGTTTACAGAGGAATATATAGGGAAAAAATCTTTTTCGCAGAACAGAAAAGCCATGATTAGTCAAATTGATATGGAGGCATCCTTGGGTAGTGTAGAATGAAATTTGTTCAAATGAGGGCCCCCGGGGGTAGGGTGGGGCCACAATGGGGGATCAAATTTTTACAAATGAATATACGGGAAAAAATCTTCTGCTCATGAACAGCAAAACCATTTGTTATATTGATATGAAAGCATCATCAGGTAGTTTAAAATTCAACACCCCCCTCCCTGTAAACTTTTCAATACTAAATTGATTTTTGCTTTTTTCCTAGCCATTGTGCTCAGGTGAGCGATGTGGCCCATGGGCCTCTTGTTTATGCTCTTGTGACTCCTCTTAGCTTGTCACATAAGGTATTCAAGCCACACTGTCCTTGTCTGATATCTTGTACCAAGAACACTGGAATCAAAATGTTCAGTCATAGATGCAGTGTTTTATAGTACTCGCACTTTCTGAAGAAAATCCATCGGTCAAACTTTTTTCTTCCTGTACTTCTTTCAATTTAAGAAGTAACCATTTCATCTTTTGGAATATGATAGGTGGTGTTCTGTAGATGTGCAATAAAGTTTCAAGAGTTTTCATCCTACAAATGGAAGTTGAAAATGCTTTTCCTGCAAAAAACTGGTTTCCAAAACTTCTCTTACATGTTATGCAGCCAAACCATCTTTTGCAAGATGACTGGGGTGTCCTGTAGATGTGCAATAAGGTTTCAGAATTTTCATGATTTGGGTTGAAAAACAGAAATCTTGTTCAAAGAACCCCTCATACATTTTACCCAGTAGCCAAATATCTTTTGGAGAGTAATTGGTGGTGTCCTGTAGATGTGCAAAAAGGTCTCGGAATTTTCATTTTTACCCTGGTGCCAAACGGGAGTTAAAAGAAAGGCTTGTTTTTTAGGTCACCTGAGTCACTCAGGTGACCTATTGCTATCTGTTTTCATCTGTCGTCTTGTGCCTTGCGTTGTCCATTAACTTTTGAACATTTACAACTTCTTCTCCAAAACAGCTAAACCAATTTCAACCAATTTTGGTATATAGCATCTATGGGTGAAGGGGAACAAAATTTGTGAATTTCATGGTCCCTGCCCCCCTGGGGCCTGAGGGGTGGGGCTAAAACCACCAAAATTGATGCAATCTTTAAAAATCTTCTTTACTCCTGGACACCAAGCAGTCAAACTGTTGGCATGATTGTAATAAGCATTGGGTGCTCTACCAAAATTGTGAAATTCATGGCCCCAGGGTCAGGGGTTCTGGTGCTAGGGTGGGGCTATATAGATCATATAGTGAAAGTGCATTATTTCTTTGAAAATCTTCTATTCTCCAGGGTATTATTTAAACTAAGTGCATGGTTATGATAAGCAATGATGCCTTTTCTAAAATTGTGAATTTCATGGACCCTGGGTCAGGGTTCTGGTGTTAGGGCAGGGCTCTATTGATTATATAGAAAAAATGCATTCATTCTTTGAAAATCTTCTTCTCTGCTCCTGGGTATTATTTAAACAAACTAAGTGCATGGTTATGATGCACAAGGATGCCTTTTACAAAATTGTGAAATTCATGGCCCCTAGATCAAGAGTTCTGGTGTAGGGTGGGGCTCTATTGATTATATATTAGTGAAAATGCATTAATTCTTTGAAAATCTTCTTCTCTGCTCCTGGGTATTATTTAAACAAACTAAGTGCATGGTTATGATGCACAAGGATGTCTTTAATTCATGGCCCCTAGGTCAGGAGTTCTGGTGTAGGGTGGGGCTCTATTGATTATATATTAGTGAAAATTCTTTGAAAATCTTCTTCTCTGCTCCTGGATATTATTTAAGTTTACAAACAAAGTGCATGGTTATGATGCACAAGGATGCCTTTTACAAAATTGTGAAATTCTTGGCCCCTGGTTCAGGGTTCTGGTGTTAGGGTGGGACTCTATTGATTGTATAGAGAAAATGCATCATTTTTTTGAAAATCTTCTTCTCTGCTCCTGGATATTATTTAAACAAACGAAGTGCATGGTTATGATGCACAAGGATGCCTTTTTCAAAAATTTTGAAATTCATGGCCCCAGGATTGGGGGGGGGGGGGGCTCTATTGATAATATAGTGAAAAAGCATAATTTCTTTGATAATATGGTGAAAATGTATTATTTCTGTTAAATAATCCTGTCTGACCTTTAGTGTTGGGCAGATAAATAAAGTGCATAGTTATGATGAACAATTGTGCTTCTTACAATTGTTTTAAAAACTTGTGGTCCCAGGTTTTGGTGTTTTGCAGGAGGGGGGGTTATATTGATAATGTGTTAATTCTTTGAAAATCTTCAACTAAGTACATAATTATGATGATGAGGGTACCTCTACCAATTTTGTGAATTTCATGACCCTGGGACATGGGTTTTAGTGTTAGGTTAGGGCTGTGTTGAATCTGCTGAAAGCTCAAGTGAGCTTTTCTGATCACATTTTGTCTGTAGTCTGTCTGTCTGTAAACTTTTCACATTTTCGACTTCTTCTCCAGAACCACTGGCCCAATTTCAACCAAACTTGCCACAAAGCATCCTTGGGTAAAGGGGGTTCAAGTTTGTTCAAATGAAGGGCCACTCCCTCTTCCAAGAGGAGATAATTAAGAATAAAAGAAAAATCAATAGCATCTTTTAACAAGAGGCCCATGGGCCACATCGCTCACCTGAGTAACTTTGGCCATGCTGTTCTTTACCAGATTTCCCCCTTGTAATACTTATTGTGGCCCCGCCCTACCCCCGGGGGTCATCATTTTAAGAATTTAAAATCTACACTATCCCAGGATGCTTCCACATAAGTTTCAGTTTTTCTGGCCCAGTTGTTCTTGAGAAGAAGATTTTTAAAGATTTTTCTTACATATTTCAATGTAAAACTTGTAATACTTATTGTGGCCCCGCCCTACCCCCGGGGGTCATAATTTTTACAATTTAGCATCTCCACTACCCCAGGATGCTTCCACATAAGTTTCAGTTTTTCTGGCCCAGTTGTTCTTGAGAAGAAGATTTTTAAAGATTTTTCTTACATATTTCAATGTTAAACTTGGATTCCCTATTGTGGCCCCGCCCTATCCCCGGGGGTCATGATTTGAATAATTTAGAATCTCCACTACCCCAGGATGCTTCCACATAAGTTTCAGCTTTTCTTGCCCAGTGGTTCTTGAGAAGAAGATTTTTAAAGATTTTTCTTACATATTTCAATGTAAAACTTGTAATACTTATTGTGGCCCCGCCCTACCCCCGGGGGTCATAAATTTTACAATTTAGCATCTCCACTACCCCAGGATGCTTCCACATAAGTTTCAGTTTTTCTGGCCCAGTTGCTCTTGAGAAGAAGATTTTTAAAGATTTTTCTTACATATTTCAATGTTAAACTTGGATTCCCTATTGTGGCCCCGCCCTATCCCCGGGGGTCATGATTTGAACAATTTAGAATCTCCACTACCCCAGAATGCTTCCACCTAAGTTTCAGCTTTTCTTGCCCAGTGGTTCTTGAGAAGAAGATTTTTAAAGATTTTTCTTACATATTTCAATGTAAAACTTGTAATACTTATTGTGGCCCCGCCCTACCCCCGGGGATCATAATTTTTACAATTTAGCATCTCCACTACCCCAGGATGCTTCCACATAAGTTTCAGTTTTTCTGGCCCAGTTGTTCTTGAGAAGAAGATTTTTAAAGATTTTTCTTACATATTTCAATGTTAAACTTGGATTCCCTATTGTGGCCCCGCCCTATCCCCGGGGGTCATGATTTGAACAATTTAGAATCCCCACTACCCCAGGATGCTTCCACCTAAGTTTCAGCTTTTCTTGCCCAGTTGTTCTTGAGAAGAAGATTTTTAAAGATTTTTCTTACATATTTCAATGTTAAACTTGGATTCCCTATTGTGGCCCCGCCCTACCCCTGGGGGTCATGATTTTTACAATTTAGAATCTCCACTACCCCAGGATGCTTCCACATAAGTTTCAGTTTTTCTGGCCTAGTGGTTCTTGAGAAGAAGATTTTTAAAGATTTTTCTTACATATTTCAATGTAAAACTTGGATTCCCTGTTGCGGCCTCGCCCTACCCCCAGGGGTCATGATTTTACGAATTTACAATCTACACTATCCCAGGATGCTTCCACATAAGTTTCAGCTTTTTTGGCCCAGTGGTTCTTGAGAAGAAGATTTTTTAATGACCCCACCCTATTTTTGTCTTTTCTTGATTATCTCCCCTTGTAAGGGGACTTGGCCCTTTATTTTAACAATTTAAATTCCCCTTCACCCAAGGATGCTTTGTACCAAGTTTGGTCAAAATTGGCCCAGTGGTTCTTGAGAAGAAGTCAAAAATGTGAAAAGTTTACAGACGGACGGACAGACAGACGGACGGACGGACGACGGACAAAATGTGATCAGAAAAGCTCACTTGAGCCTTCGGCTCAGGTGAGCTAAAAATCTTCTTCTCAAAAACCATAGGACCAGGAGAGATGAAACTCATGTGGAAACATCCTTAGGTAGTGTAGATTCAAGTTTCTTCAATTCATGACCCCCGGGGGTAGGGTGGGGCCACAATGGACAATCAAAGTTTTACATAGAAATATATAGGAAAAATCTTTAAATACCGGTAATCTACTCAAGAACAGCAAAGCCATGATGAGTCATATTTATATGGAAGCATCCTCAGGTAGTGTAGGTTCAAGTTTGTTCAATTCATGACCCCCGGGGGTAGGGTGGGGCCACAATGGACAATCAAAGTTTTACATAGAAATATATAGGAAAAATCTTTAAAAATCTTCTAAAGAACAGCAAAGCCCTGACTGGTCATATTTATGTGGAAGCATCCTCAGGTAGTGTAGATTCATGTTTGTTCAATTCATGACCCCTGGGGGTAGGGTGGGGCCACAATGGAGGATCAAAGTTTTACATAGAAATGTATAGGAAAAATCTTTAAAAATCTTCTTCTAAAGAACAGCAAAGCCATAATGAGTCATATTTATATGGAAGCATCTTCAGGTAGTGTAAATTCAAGTTTGTTCAAATCATGGCCCCCGGGGGTAGGGTGGGACCACAATGGAGGATCAAAGTTTTACATAGAAATGTATAGGAAAAATCTTCTACTCAGGAATAGCAAAGCCCTGATTGGTCATATTTATATGGAAGCATCCTTAGGTAGTATAAATTCAAGTTTGTTAAAATGATGACCCCCGGGGATAGGGTCGGGCCACAATGAGGGATCAAAAATTTTTCATAGGAACATATAGGAAAATTTCTTCTTCTCAAGAACAGAAAATCATGTTTAGTCATTTTGATATGGAAGCATCCTCAGGTAAAGTAGTTGCAATTTTGTTCAAATAATGATCCCCGGGGGTAGGGTGGGGCCACAATGGGGGATAGAAAGTTTTACTTAAGATCATATAGAAAAAACTTTCTTCTCAAGAACAGAAAAGCTATGTTTAGTCATACTGATATGGAAGCATCCTCAGGTAGTGTAGATTCAAGTTTGTTCAAAAAATGACCCCTGGGATAGGGAGGAGCCACAATGGGGGATCAAATTTTTACAAAGGAATATATAGGAAATTTTTTTTTTAAAAAAACATCTCAAGTACAACAAAGCCATTTGTTACATTGACATGGAAATATATCATCAAGTAGTTAAAAATTTAAACCCCCCCCCCCCCCCCCCCCCCCCCCCCGGTAATCTTTTCCATACTGAACTGATTTACTGATTTGTGGTGCTTTTGCCTAGCCAATGTCCTCAGGTGAGCGATGTGGCCCATGGGCCTCTTGTTTGAAAATCTTCTCTGCTCCTTGGCAAATTGAAGGCAAACAGAATAAAAGTTTTAATAAGCAAGGATATTTTTACCAGATTTTTGAACATAGGTCAAGTGTTCTGGTCCTGGCCAGTGCTCTATTAATTTGTATTCTACTGAGAGCTTTCACTTTCGATTATTAATCACTGTAAATAATGTATTTGAGAGTCAATAGACTAAGAGAATTAAGCAAAAAATGATATTGTATAATACAAAAAGTACTTTCATAGTTTTAATGATCAGGTATATTTGTAAATAATAAATAAATCAAAACGAGATAAAAAAAAAACTTATCTTATTAAATTTTCTTCAAAGACCAAGAGAGGTCAATGTGAGAAGTCACAATATAGGATTAAAAGTGGTACAGAAGAACCAATAGTTTGTTAATTGTCTGCATTGTGATAGTGATAAATGGGATATAGATTAGAATTTAATTAATTTATGAGCTGTTACTGAATACTAGACTTATTATTTCATTGATCCTGATCATCCTATTTCTCTTGCTTTTGGGCAACAAAGCTTCATCTATCAGTTTATTTTATACTTTATGGATCCTCTAAATTGTTGTACTATACTCAGGTGACCATTAAGGCCCTTGGGCCTCTTGTTTCATTTTACAAAAACCTGGATCCCAAAATTCTTACATTTTTTGCAGTAGCCATTTCATCTTTTGCAAGATGATTTGGAGTGTCCTGTAGATATACAAAAAGGTTTCTTAATTTTATACTTGGTGACAAAGACAGGATTTTTATTTCACTCATTTCCCATATCAGAAGTGATATACAAGGCAAACAAATGATACTGTGCATCTTTGGATGCTTTTGTCTCTGCAATATTTAGTTTTGCATGTGCTCCTAGTGGGGCCTCAGTTCTAATATGAAGAACTATTATCCATTTATTGATGCACTAGTTCTGATTTTTTTTATCCTAAATGCTTCAGAATTGTGGATGATGTCAGTCTTTTGGAAAAGGGGTAAGGTAAAAGAATGAATTTGATATTTTTAATCTACAGAACTTACATTTAATATTTAGCTGAAAGTCCGTTGGAGGGAGACACTACTAATTTGAATCACATGTTTTAAACATAAAGGAACATTTTTAGTATTATATGTACCACATTTATAGGAACCTATTTTATCCTACAGACTACATGTACATGTATTAACTAAATCACAATTCTGTATTTGTCTTCATTATTACAGAAGTATCTTGATCGTGTTCCCTGCACCAAGAAGATGTCACTTTTAGCAGCAAGCTAGAAACCTTTATCAAATCTTTCCATACTTCTGATGGACACAATTCAAAATCTACTGAAGAATTTTAGTCTCTGACTTTAATATAAATAAACATGTATACAGAATATGGATTTAATGACTAACAAATGATCACATTTATACAAAACACCAGCCCATTCACGCAACTATTTGATAATCTGTATGTCAATGTTGATTGCATCTGGAAAAAAAGAAAAAAGAGTAAGACTCATTAGATATGAAATATTCCAGAGAAATAGATATTAGAATTGCTGTTGACAAATGATAGAGACCTAGAATTTACTATCAATCATGCTTCTTGACATTGTTGACTGACACATAATGGTAGAGGACAACCAGCAAAAATAATGTCACCCCAAGAGCATTTGCAAAAATGGCTAGCTGTACATCCGAGATCATCTTGTTAAATCTGCAAGACAAAATACTTTGTGTTAAAATTTTCCTTTAAAACTTTTAATTTAGGTTCAACACTAGCTGCAGAACTGTAGCTCTTTGGTTGCGAAATTTTGGACAGACAAACCAGAGAGCTACAGATCAATGCAAAAATCTTGTAAAGAAAATCTTAAATTGTAAAAACCTCCAATTTATAGCTACACTTTTTTGTCACTCTCTTCAGGTATTATTGTATTATATTGCATTATACGTGTTTCCCAGCTTAAAGGATGACTTTATTTAATTAACCATATTTTACTTGTATTCCTGCTACAAGGATGCATTATGTCTGGGGTTCCTGTTCATCACTGTGGTAGACTGGATAATGAGAAATACCAACAATAGGAGGAGAGGTATACATTGGAAATTTATGTCCACCTTAGAAGACCTGGATTGTGCAGACGATCTTGCACTTATTTCCAGCAAACACAGCGACATGCAAGAAAAGACCAGGAGATTGCATGACGTCACTGAATATACTGGCTTAAAAATTAATGTAGACAAGACAAAAAGCATGAGAATAAATGGAAAGAAGAATGATGCCATCAGGTTAAATGATAAGGAAGTAGAAGAGGTTGAAACATTTCTCTACCTGGGTGCCACAATGGACAAGACAGGAGGAACTGAGGCAGACATAGGGAGAAGGCTAGGCTTAGCCAGGACTGCTTTTGCATCCCTTACCAAAGTATGGAAGTCAGCACAATACAGCACTAAGACCAAACTTAAGATCTTCAACACAAATGTTTTATCTGTGTTGCTGTATTGTTCTGAACTATGGAGAACCACAGAGAAAGATGACGAAAAGCTGGACACATTCCATCGGAAATGCCTTAGGAGGATCTTAAAAATACACTGGCCTGAAAAGATATCTAATCAACAACTGTATGACAGAACAAGATCCATACCTCTATCAAGGACGATCAAAGGAAGGTGATGGATAGGCCACATCCTCCGAAGGGAAGCCAGCTCACACATAAGAACAGCTCTCACATGGGCCCCTGAGGGAAAGAGAAGAAGAGGATGGCCAAAGAACACCTGGCGACGCTCCGTTGAGAGAGAAAGGGAAGAACTAGGTTGGAGCAGCTGGAGGGAGGGGCAGGTTGTTGCCAGTGACCGCCGTAAGTGGCGTTCTTTGTTGAACGGCCTCATGCATCCTCCGGGGCACGGAGAGGATAAGTAAGTAAGTATGCCTGCTACTTCATTTACCTTTCATCGGTTACTAACAGCCCTAACGAGCTACAAAAAGCATCGCCATGAATCGTAGGACTTAGTTTTTACAATGCTTGGATCACAATGCAATGCGAATGCAATCGCTGCTAACTAGGTTCTCACAGTAACAACAGAGGTTCACCAAAATAATAAATTCACCTTGATTTAATACATATTGCAGATAAATAATAGATTAAGTGTTCATTGTTAAAATTTGCACTTTTCAGACTTTGTTTTGGTAATGTACCTTACATATGATGTCATGTAACATCACAGTCTACATGTTCCAAATGTCTTGTGCATATTGAAGAGGCAGATCTAAAAGCTGTCTTAAGTTAGAACTGAATAGGTATCCAGTAATACACATCTGCACTAGCCCTAATGGTCGCACCATCTACATATATATAATTATACCACGTCCAGTACAATCACTAGATTTAGCTACATAGCTTGAATAACTTACATATCTTTATTTAGCTACTAAAATTTGCTAATTTAGCAACTAACTCAAACTTATTTCTTAAATGGGCATTTTTTTAAGCATGTAAAAAAATCATACTTTTGTGCAGCGACAGTTTTGGACTTTTGAACTGTTCTGAAAACAATGCATGAAAAAATTGCTTTCCAAGATGTGTCTCCTTCAGAGCAGTTGAAATCAAAGTTCTAAAAGTTTTGGTGCTATATATACAACAGTTGATTTGTGACTAAACAGTTGCTTTTTGAATGATAACAAAGACCAATATTGGTTAACATTACAAGCTTAATTGATTGGTAATAATTTACCTCAGAGCAAAGTTATTGTACATATCCATGCTTTACTGAATACTGTACACAGTTACTCAAACAATGGATATACATCTTTTCTTCAAAGTGTTCAAAAGCAGCAATGTTTGAACTATCTTTGCGCTAGGTTGCTTTTTGTACAAATATCAGAAGTTACATACTTTGTCTATTTTGAATAAAAGCTATTTGGGAAAAAATGCATTAAAATAGCTAAATAAAGCTCTCTAAGTGCTAAATAAAGCTACGTACGTACTTGGTAATTCAAGCTCAGTAGCTAAATCCAGTGATTATACTGGACCTATGAGATGAACTGTATTACAGAAACACTTGCCTGTGGGAACAGATTATGCTTGATATTACCAGAGACATAATTAACATTCTATTTATGTCTCTTATATGTATATTCAGTAATCATGTTGAATCAAGGGACGCATAGTATGCTACAGGCCCCTGAGGAGTAAACGTGGTACCAGTGCCCCCTCCTCTTTTCCGCGTTTTGGATCACATGCATGACTAAATATTGTTATCCAAGACAAGGAAATAATGATGTATTAAGATCAATAAGTTCTTATTAAAGCATTCTTACACCTTTGATTCAAGCCGACAGCAGTCTCTGAAAATTGTTGTAGTTTTTTATCGTTGGGGTACGTGTTTCCGGTTTGAAATAAGATTGTCGATCCCGATCTAAAATACCTTTGATACAGAGGAGTCCGAAAGTAAAATACGAAAATGGAGAAGCGTTTCCTTAACGGAACTGGACACAATCTCACTCCCTCCCATTTGAAAAAAAATCCAAGTTTCGTTTTTTTTTTTTTTTTTAAATTAGTCAGTTTGATATTGGTTGATAAATGAAACAATTACCTGAATATATTACAACCCTGTAAAGAATTCATTGAAGTAATTAAATAATAAAACAAAATAAACTGATAGATGAAGACATATTTCCCCAAAATAAGAGAAATAGACAGTCAGAGATCAACAAAAAGATAGTTTAGTACTAGGTAATAACTCATACTGTTGATCTGTTTACAATTTTAAGCCTGTAGTTGCCTGTGCTAGTACCCTCCCATTTGTCACTCTAATGCTCTACCGACTGAGCTACCCAGGCCGATATCCACGGCCCAAACCATTACAGTCACTATCACCAGATTCAACAACACTTAGTGCTTAAAATTATAGAACGGTATACAAATTGTTAACCCAGCAAATTTAACGTTCAAGCTAGTATAACGGGTATTTTTCTCGTTTTTATTCATCTATTATTTACAAGTTTACCTGACCATTCAAATCTATAAAAGTAATACTTTTTGTAAAATATTGTACATATCGTTCTTCTATTCAATTGACCTATCAATTACATAATTTACAGTGATTTTAAAGAGCCATTTTCTGTAATGATTTGGACTTTTAGATAGGAGTTGTGGCACGTATAGTCTCAGGATTTCGCTAAACGCTCTAGACGATGAAAATCTTTGATACTGTAAACTCATATAGGCAAAAAGAGGGGGAAAAATGGTTGCTATGTGTTATGGTTGCCATGGTAACGTAACCTAAAGTTTGAAAACGACACTTTTAACATGTTCAGAGCCCCATAGTTAACGTTTGCTGCAACGCAAACAAGTGGCAATGACTGTTTCAAAATGTTGAGAGGCTGATGTTTTAAATGCATAATAAACATATTTAGAAAATCACATATTACATGGTTACTATGGCAACAAAGTATTTAAAATTAATTATTTTATTCATTCATTTTTATGAAGTCATACACTCAAAAATAAAAGCAATAATAAGTTAAAATGCAACCAAATAATAGAGAAAGATCCTTGTAACAAATATGATGAAATGTGATATTTCTTATCGATTGGCAATGGTTGTTATGATTTTAATTCCGCAAAGGGTTTCAAATTTATTCTCTCTATGTTTTAATCTGATATTAGCTTTTCAAAAAGTACATTTCTATATAACTAGTAATCAATTTTTAAAGGCATTGGTGTGGTCCAAATTTTCACATTTCAAAAAATTCAAATTAAATTCTTTAAATAAAGCGTTGCTATGGAAATTATAGGGAAAAAATACGCATAAAAAGTTAAACAAATATTTGGTTGCCTTGGATGTACCCTTGTATGTAGATTCCGAAACTTTTATGATTGATATTTATGAACAACTAACTGACTTTCATTTTTGTGTAATTTTTCTATAAAGTTAACAAAATCGAATATTTTCCTTTTTTGGTAGCCATACTGTTGTTTTCTTCATAAAACTTTATAAATATATGAAATTCAACTTTAGTTGTGTCAGATAAGTACTATTCAAGGTGAGTCAAATCAGTGTTTCTTGATGAAGAGGTAACTAAATTCCTAAAGCAGCAAAAATATCACTTCAAACCACTGATGCGTTGTTTCCATGGTTACACTTCGAAGTAGCAATTAATCCCAATTTTTCTTATGCTATCTGTGTTACAAGGTCCCAACAATGTATATTTGCCAGTCTTGGATTTCCATGTTTTTCATCAAAATAGCAGCATTAACCAAAACTTAGCGACAAAATTTGTGTGGCTACACAGTGTTACCATGGCAACCATGAAAGTTGATTTTAATTTTGCCAATACCTAACTACTTAAAGTAAACTATCTCTATTGTTTGTCTTGTGCTGTTGATTGAGTTTGATCATGTAACACCTATCATTAGGGATTATTATCATTAGTAAATATTATAAGCATTTTTCAGCTCAAAATATATTCCAAATGTACCCATGGTTACCATTTACTTAGAGATATATTCTAAATTAAAAAAAATTCTGGCATAAGTGGCAACAAGGTGTCTTTTTTTAAATGGTTTGTTTGATTTTCTTAGTCTTCATTAAGGTTCAATAAAGTTTCATAGTAACTGAAAATCTCAACATTTTTCCGGCTGTTATCATGTCAACCAAGACACATAGTAATTAATTTTATTTGATATATGTTTTTGGTGTCAAGTTGTAATAATGGGCAAAGTTTCATCAAAATCGGTGACAGTGCGTGGCAAGAAAGTTTAATTTGGTTACAGAGAATAGCTCTTTAAAATTATCATAGGTGAGTAACAAATGGGAACAACTTCTCTCAAAGTAAGGAACAAATTTCCTCACAAGATCAATGGAACCTTCTCCAGCACAAGAACCTTGGTCACAAGAATTTCACAAATCTGATAAAACTAAATAATTTATACCACTATATAATTTCCTGTCCTATCCCAAGAAGCCCTGTCCCGGACGGGGGTTGGGGGTGGGTGGGTTGAATCTTAAAATTTTGGGTGCATTCAGTTTGTCTGCTAAATATCCAGAAGCAGAGAAGAAAACTTTCAAAGAATTAATGCATTTTCACTATATAATCAATACAGCCCCGCCCTAACACCAGAACACCTGACCCAATGACCATGGATTTCACCTTTTTGGAAGAGGCACCCTTGCTCATCAAAACATGCACTTAGCTCATCCGCTAAAGAAGAAGGTTTTCAAAGAATCAATGCATTCTACTATACAATTAATAGAGCCCCACCCTAACACCAGAACTCCTGAACCAGGGACCATGAAATGCACAATTTTGGAAGAGACACTCCTGCTCATCATAACATCTGCTGAAGAATATTTTGGAAGATTTTAGGGGAAGACACTTTCCATAGTCAATTTTTGTCAGTTCGTGTGTGGGGAGGGGGAAGTAAACACTTTCCATTGGCAATCTTTGTCACACACATGACTCTCCTTTCCATCTTACGAGGGGTCTGTGTTTCCCAGGGGATGCAATGTCATCTTTAGCATTATTTTTACATAGAAATTTAATACCAGGGGGTCCTGACCCCTCCGACCCCCGCCCATCTAGATCCCCGCAAGGGTGCTACTGGCATTTGCGTGGATTTTTCCAGATTGAAAATTAAAATGGACAAGAGATATGGTGTATTGACATCCAAACAGAATAAGCCAAACAAGCAAGGGACGAGGTTTTGCTAGAGACCGACATATTCGGCTAATATTTTCTATATAGTTTTTAATGAGAAAAAAACACATAGAAATAGAGTGGATTTTTGCAATCTAATATCCAAAGACGACTTATGCACCAAAACCTTTTTACAACACTCTTAATTAAATGTCTTCTTTTGAAATTCTAATGTGTATTGATTAGCGCAATAAAAACTCTTCAAAGTCATCGGAGCGATATCTAAACTATCCATTGTCTTTAGTGTCTTCATAAAAACGAACAAATTCTTTGGTGAAAATGGAAGCAAGGACACAAAACAGCAGACGGCGTTTTTCCACATATTAAGCATTAATTAATGAATTTCTGAAATATAGTTCATCAACAAACAATATGTCCCGAAAACGTGTGAATACGTCAGGTTCGAAGCTAACGGGAAGGTCCACGAAATCTTCTATCGATACCTTCTCAGGAATGTGTTCTGATCACGAACTGGAAATATTAAATTTGTACTGTCGAACTTGTGATAAATTAGTATGTACTGACTGTGTCCTTAAAAAGCACAAATCTCACGACTGGTGCAAAGTCAGAGACATTGCAGACGAGAAACGTGCCGCGCTTTCAAAGAACACAAAGCTGGTTCACGAGAAGACCCTTCCCAAGATGAACCACACCCTACAGGATGTTGAACATATCGCTAAAGAAAACCAAAGGAAAAAGACCGAAACACAACGAAATATCGAAAAGCAAAGCACTGCAATTTTGACGAACGTTAGGAAGATGGAGACGAAGCTTAAGGAGGCGCTAGAACAGAGTTTTCAGTCATTTATAGAGGCGGAAAGGGAGCTTCGTGAAGACTTCAGGGATTTGTCTGGTTTGACAAAAGAGTGTGAGAAAATCTTACAGAGAGGAACCGATTCCGAGGTGATCACAGCGAACTGTAAGCTGGAAAGGTACATCAAACAAGTACATGAACTAGACATTGAGACATTCAAAAGTGATTCCTCCTTTCAAATAGGGAAAATCGACACTGAAACGTTAGAGAACATGTTTGGACAAGTCAGTCTCGTCCGACGACAAGGAAAGACTAATCCCGAATACATTCCAAAAATTGCTATTGGCGAGAGGAAGGCATTCTCATACACCAAAATACAGGACGATATAAGCTCCATTTGCTCTTTAGGGAATCGAATATGGCTTCATCCTCGAGGTTCAACAGAGAATTTTGCTCTGGATCATAATGGAAATCTTGCAAGTGTAAAAGATTTCGGTGTAGTTGTGTCGTATGGTTTTGCAAAATCACAAGATGGGTGTCTCTTATGTGTGGATTTTGTTGGTAAGGTGATTTTAAAGCTCTCTGGAGACAGAACACTGTCAAAAGTCATCAACACCGACCCTTTGAAGCCTTTGTCTATCTGCATGACCCGTGAAGGTCAATATCTTGCTTGTCTAGAAGACAGCACAACCACTAACAGTCATACTAAGACAAGCCATTGTAGGGTATTTAGACTTTCTATAAGCGGTCGTATCATCCAGAGCATCGGGTCCAGACTTTTTAACATGCCAAGAAAAGTTGTGGAGAACGCTAACACCGATATCTGCGTGATTGACAGAATGCCCGACCAGAACAGCCGACTGTGTGTTCTTTCGTCCGGTGGTGTTCTAAAATTCGAGATCTCCACTAAATCTCCCTGGGACGTTTGCTGTGATCAGTACTCCAATATAATCGTCATCAGTCGCCATTGCTCTGACGTCACGATTCTCGATAAGAATGGACTTCCTTTGGAGACGTTTTTAGCCGCAGATACTTTTAAAAGTGCATTGTCTGTTAGCATGGACAGTAACTCAATATGGGTTGGAGGAACCAATGGATGTGTTGCCGAAATAGAATTCACATACAGCTGATTCTGTTTTGGGAGCGTAGAAAAATTATCCAGGCGACCTTTAATAGATATTAATTTAGAGTGGATGTACATAACTGTATAGTGTGCTGTATGAATGGTCCATGCACGGGAGGATTATCGGATGAGGCACCTCGTAGCAGTGATCGATTCACATAAATAGCATGAAATCCCCTTTGTTCACGTTTTATAATTCTAAAATAAGCACTATGCCACTTCAAGAAAAAAATGATTGCAAATCTGCATGACCTTTTATCAATATTTATTTGTACATGTACGAGGGTTGTTCGAAAAGTTCGTGGACTGATGCGATAAAATTAATACTATGTAGTCTATGCTTACAAAATTTTTAATGAACATAAAACAACAAAAGTTAAAGAAATGTTGAAAATTTTAGCTTGGTACCTTGACTATTTACATACATCATACATTATCATAAAATAAAAAAGACAAAAAAGATATGATCACCCGGCGCTGTCGCCATTTAGTTTCATGGCGTCATTGTTTTACAATGTCCACATTCTTATCTTAATGAGTTTCCTTGGAGTTAAGTAAACTTTAAGATTTAAACCCGTCTTGTTTATACTATTTTAAAATGTCATGAACAGCTGATTTCAATGCATATAATGAAATATATGGAGATAACGAACAGTATTCAAGCTCAAAAGTCCACTAAACAATACAAAATAGGAGCAGAGCAAACACGGACCTCCAAACATCAGAGGTGGGATATTGTAAATAGATCTGAAAGACCCCCTCACTTGATTATAACAGCATATTTGCTTGTCGGAGTTCAACATCTATCACACATGATCAACGTCACTTTTCGACGTGACAAACTTTGAACACCCTTACTACAAATCGACATTCACTTTTACATCTCTCGTCTCTGATCTTTTTCGGTGTTTAAAAACAAGTACTCTGAATGCATCTTATTTTTCAGTAGCCCATTTAAATATTTCCTAGGTCTATTCATTCCAAAATACTTATTTTTAACAATGGTCCTATTTTTGCCTATTTTCATCAACTTGTTTATCAGTAGCCTGCCTCGTTTAAAAGTTGATCATACTCGGAACAATCGGCTCGGAGACATAAAAACAATATGGAGGTGATTGAGGAATATTAACACATAAAGTTATAGGAAAAGTTTAAGTAATTCCATTTGTCATATAGTTGTGCTGTTTATTGGTCATTAACGTTTTAGAAAATAAAACATCCAAGTTTGAAGCAGACATGGCAGACTCTTTGATGCCTCACTATTATTTCGAGTTCACTGGGATACACCGAGTTGACATATGAATGAAATTAACTATTATTAATTGACAAATGCCTTTTCAATGTACTCGTTTATGACCAAATGATGACTTTTATATGCTGGGCCTTTGCCAATTACGGTGTTTGTATTTGTACCAATAAACGTTTGCAATTTGTAAACATTTGATAAAACGATATATTGAAGTTTGAATTGAAAGCCACGGCAAGAGTTTCTTCTTATGTAGAAGTTTTTTGAATAAAGTCTGCTTCATAAGAATATAAAAACATGCGCTTATCAAATGAGCACAATCAGCGCCTAGGAATCTCCAACAACATTCAAACCATATTTCTAATACAAACGTGCTACTTTTTAATTCCTTTGCAGAAATCTTCTGTGTGTGCTCATTGATTCTGATGTCATATTATTTCACACAAAGCGGGATCCTTTTATAGATTATGTGTACAGACATATTTGGGGATTTATTTTTGATATACTCTGTAATGTTTTTTGGATCGGGATCGAAATTTCACTTACCTGCAGCCAATCAAATGTGAAGAAAATTTGACAGCTCGACAACAAAGGACTGGCGGGAGGCTGTGCACAATTTTGTTAAAATTTAGTTAAAGACGCTCAATATACTTGCAGAAATGTCCTCTGCTTGTCGAATGGTAAGAAATGTTTACTACAATATCATAAAAAACTCTGAAACTCCGTAAGTACCGTAGTTCCAGGCGGTACATGTGACACCAGAATTTCCTCTGTTCTTTTTCTCTAACATGCAATGAGTTAAAAAGGATATAAGTATTGTTAATAAAGAATATTTTGAATTTTAATTCAAATCACAATACCATTAGGCACTGTTCAACATATGAAACCTTGACGTTTCTAACACTTATGCGGGGAAAATCATTATGTGTATAAATAGGGCCCTGTTGTACAGGTTGGGCACACCCCACCAAATGGTCATTTATCCCCCGTTTGGTGGACAATCTCCCATATCGGAGACGACTTTTACTGACGAAATGGTGGACTTTTTTATTCTATTCCAAATTTTATTAAAATAAAGCAAAAGCGCATTTGCATAGGCATTGGGGAATTTTAGTGAATATATTCCTCGCACAATTAACATTAGGGCTGGGACGATATATCGAGATATCGATAAAATCGATCTTGAATTAGTTCGATACGCGTATCGAGACGTTAGCGGAAATATCGATCCGGAAAACAAAATTCCCGCCTTGTTTATTCTTTGTTTTACCTCGGAAATTACTTTCAATTTTTAGCCAATGAGAACGGTTTTCTGTAGGTAAGCCCGGGACTGTAGTGTTATGGAAAATGGCAACCGAAAGAACACGTGAAAACTCGTGGGTCTCCCTGGACACTCCAACTATAAAGAAGTCCAACGTTTGGACTCATTTCGGATTTCCTGTTTATGACAACGAATCAAAAAAATTTATAGACAAACAAAAAACGGTATGTCGCCATTGTAAAGTAATGGTCCCGTACAATGGTAATACAACAAATATGCGTGTGCATTTAAAGAGACATCATCCAAACATAAAACTTGATTGTGTTACTGATGACAAAAAAAACCCCTATTTCTCAGAAAACAATTCAAGCGAATCTACCATCATTTTCAAAATATTCAAATTCATCATCAAGAGCAGCAGACATAAACCGGGCTGTGGCAGGATTTATTGTGTCTGACATGAGACCGCTAGGCATAGTGGACAACCTAGAGTTCAAAGTACTGTTACAGAAACTTGATCCTCGCTATGTTTTGCCATGTAGAAGACATTTTGCAGATAAGATTATTCCTGAAATGTACAGTGAGAAAAAAAGAGAAATTGGAGAAAAATTACAGAAGGCTCAATCAATTGCACTAACAACAGATTCTTGGACATCAAGAGCCTGTCAATCGTATATGACTGTCACAGTGCACTTTGTTGCTGATGATTGGACAATAAAAAATTTCGTTCTTTCAACAAAGATGCTAGCTGTTTCACATACAGGGGAAAACCTTGGGAATGCCTTGATTGAAGTGATGGGTGAGTGGTCTTTATTACGATACAAATCAGACAGTTCCACAGTTGCTATAACATCAGACAATGCCTCAAATATGGACATTGCTGCCAGGGTAGGAGGATTTGAGCCACATATTAAATGTTTTGCTCATACTTTAAACCTTGCGTCTCAAAAGGCACTGAAGACACCATCATTGGCCAAGCTTGTTTCCCGCATAAAGCGAATTGTTGCTTTTTTCCACAAATCTACAACTGCCACTGCTGTGCTCAAAGCAAAACAGTCTCTCTTAAACATACCTGAACATAAACTCATCATAGATGTAGCAACCAGGTGGAACAGTAGTTTTGAAATGATAACACGTTTTCTTGAGCAACAACCTGCTATTTTATCAGCCCTTACATCTAATGAGGTAAAAAGGAATGTGAAGGACATTGTAACCCTTTCGGACATGGACATTAATGATGCTGAAAAAGCAATTGATGTCTTGAAACCTTTGAAAACTGCCACAACTATTATGTGTGACCAGCATTTCCCCACTGTGTCCATGATATTTCCACTGCGTTCACAGATCCTTGACAGCATGGTTGAGAAAGCAGGTGACTGCAAACTAATAAGGGAAGTGAAGGAAGCAATTCGTTCTGACCTTACACCACGTTACAGAGATGATACTGTTGAGAATTTTCTCTTGATGTCAACAGCCCTGGACCCAAGATTTCGTTCCCTGCCTCATGTGGATGACAGCAGACGTCAAGAAGTGTATGACCTGATTGAGAACATGGCACTTACCTTTTGTGAAGCAATTAAGGTGAATTCTTGGTGATGATACAATTTAGTATACTATCTCTGAATTTTATTTATGTATTGCAAATTCATTATTTGTTATCTGATATAATTATTTTATTCATGTTTTAAGCTTTCATAAATGAAATGAATAAAATTACTGAAATGAGTGAGGTTATAACTTAACTTTTTTTTTTAGAATTTATAGTGTTTTCTTTTATGCTTAAAGGTCAAAGTTGAAAAGAATGATGATGTTCCTCCACAGGCAGAGCTACCAGAAATGCCTCAGATGCTTGGAACCCCAGCCCTACCCCAATTACCTCAACTTGATGATATCAATGATGGTATAAATCACTGTTTCATATTAATCAAATTAATTAATGTTTTAAGGGGAGCTCATGTCATGTCTTTACTTTATTGAAATATTTTAGTTGAAGACAAATCAGACATTCTACCTGCAAAGAGGTCAAAAGGAGCAATGGAAGACCTTTTTGGTGATGTGTTTATTGTCAGCGCAACTCCAGGAAGGAGTACTTCTGATTTAGTCCACGATGAAGTAGAGAGATACAGATCAGAATCCAATATCGCTTTAAATGCTGATCCATTACAGTGGTGGAAGAGCCACCTTGACAAATTTCCAAAGCTTTCTATTGTTGCACAGGCATTCCTTGGTATTCCTGGTACGTCTGTACCTAGTGAAAGAGTGTTCAGTTGTGCAGGTGATATTGTTACTGCTACTCGATCCTGTCTAGACCCTGAGCTGGTAGATAAGCTGATATTTTTGAAGATGAACTTTAGATATTGACTTGTAAGAAAGAAATTAAATTTGAGTCAATTGAAAAAAGATGTTCAATCAGTTTTCTGTGCCATTTGTAAAACCAAAGCATGTTTAAGTTGCATTTGTTAATTTTTTTTCTATGATTGTAACAAAAGTTTTGAGTTTTCTGTGTCATTTGCAAAAACAAAAACATGTTCAAATAATATTTTTTTTTATCTGATATGCTAAAAATTTTAAGGATACTCATTTTTCTCCAAATAGCCTAAAATCTTGTGTTATAAATATCTATTGTTCACACATTGTCACCCCTCTCTAGTCAGAATCAATAAAATCACATTATTGTAACTAATTACAAAGTTATGCAATATGTACATCTAGTCATTGTATTGTTACTTGCAATGTTTTACATTCATTTACATGTTAAGAGTTAAAAGGTTCCATTAAACCAATCAAGCATAAATTGATTACACTAGATCAAATTTGAAATCAAATTTAATACAAATCCTGCATGTATTCCTATTTGTCTTTCATATTTTTTGTTTTATATATATATAGGTAATATAAATAAAATGTTATTTGTTTTGAAACTTATTGTTCTTTACATGTACTGTAAAACCAATGGAAATATCGTGATACGTATCGTATCGGCATGCAAATATCGTGATATGTATCGATACGGCAAACACTGTATCGTCCCAGCCCTAATTAACATAGCTCAATCGATTTTCCATGTGCAATTTCTCCATAACTTCGTAAAAACGATACCCATAGTTGTCCGTAACAGCCGAACTTCTTGATCAATCAATCAAAAAAAATTTGATTGTGTCTAGTACGATAAAATTCTATTTTATCCAGTGGTTTAACTCTTGATAAGTTAACTTTCAATCGCTCTTATAATCTTCGTCAATATTTATTTCCATAAAACCCCGTTAAACACGAGCTCCTCATTACTTTACTGGTATGGTGGGCACTCATTGCTATAAAGTTAAATTTTTCTATACTTGAACATTATTTTTCTTTTAGGATGAAGTTCCATATTCCATGCGACCTTTTTGGTTTAATATGTATATTCCTGATGAATTTAATATATTTGATAAATAATTTTCAATAAAAGATTTACATAGTGACTTTTACAATTATTCTTTGTTTTGTTCCAAGTACATCGTTTTAAAACAATAATTATATCAAAATCTAACTTCATTTACTATTTTTATAAAGAACAAAGCCATTACGTACAAAAAAAAACGAAATAAAGGCGAAAACTTATTTTTCTTTTGATTTCCTAATTGAAAATTAACACAAATGTGCCTCCGTAGTTAAATCCGACTTTTGACCAGGTTAAAAAAAAGATAATCGTTTTTATTGGTTTGCATTATTTGATTGGTTGCCCGAATAATCGAAATAGAAAGTAAAGAACGTGATTGACAGGTGCAGCATCGTTGGAGAAGGAGGGAATTTTCTTTTTAAGTAAAAACTGAGAAACGTTGCTCTTGTTTACGTACGTGACGTTCTATGTCAAATTTTTGAACGACTCTTCGCAAAAAATTACACATTGAATTTCCGATTTTTTTCACTCAGAACACCGATAAATATCTATATTTTATTCCACATGGTTTAAAATTATGCGCCATTCCACGCCATTCTAGAAAATTGAACACAACCATTTTTCTCTCCCAAATGGTCAGTAAAATTCGTCTCCGATATGGGAGATTGTCCACCAGACGGGGGATAAATGACCATTTGGTGGGGTGTGCCCAACCTGTTGTAAGCTTGCGAAATTATCATTTGCTGAAGGTATTTAAGCGATTAGTGTAAAAGATATCTGTTTTTCATATTGTTTAAATTTTCTCTTATGGTATTTAGAAGAAAGGCAAATGCCTTGTAATTGCCATTTTGAAAGGGTGAAATTAAAGGTTATCATTTGCAATTGGTCTTTCAAAGATTTTGTTCCACTGACTTTCATTGAATATGTGTTGATGCAGATGAATGGAATGTAAGAACTCAGTTGGATATATATATATGATACTGAAAACATTAGACTGTTTTTAAATTTGGGAGGAATAGTACATAAATTAATTTGGCTAGATATTTGGACTGACGCCTTCACCGAATCTTGGGACAGACACGTTTGGAAATTCAGCCCCAAATTTGATCGCTTGTCGCAGTTAAAATGGGGACATACCTGTGTTTCACCTGCTTTATTTTGTCTCCTCAAACATCTTGTACCTTTTTTTTTAAATAAATGAGTTCCAATAGAGTCATTTGGAGGCTTTACATCAACGCACATTTCTGTGCATCATCTTCAAGGTTCCTGAGGATGATGAGTGAAAATGGCAAGGGTTTCAAAACAGATACACTAGCTGTAAAAATTGTGGGAGAAATACTTAGTCAAGATAAGATATAGAGATTTTATTTAAATAGTTTGAAGGATGTTCAAGCTGCAAATCTGAAGCAGGCGAAACACAGGTATGTCCCGATTTTAACCTCGACAAGCGATCAAAGTTTGGGCTGAATTTCCAGACGTGAAGTATGAAGGACTTTCCCGAGAATCATAGTGTACTTCTCTTTAAAGTTTTATTTTTTATTGTTCTCCACTTGTTTTGGATTACATTTAAGTCAGGAGATTTTAGGGCCAGGTGTTACATTTTAATTCATTTTCAATCTTCCACTGTTTTGTAACAGTTGAATGTAGTGTAATTCTCTGAGGAGTTTAATTTTTATTGTTCTCCCCACATTTTCATTACATTTATTAAGTCAGGAGATTTGAGGGCCAGGTCATTCATTTTAATTCTTTTTCAATCTTCCACTGTTATGTAACACCTCCTAATAATCCTTGAAGATAAAACATTGCTGCTTAAAGTCTGTTGCCTATCATGCCTCACACATCTAATTATTTTTCTGTCCACAAGAACATTTTTTTTTTTTGGACGACCGCTTAGGTGCTCATCTTTGTGTTGATCCCTATTTCTGCAATGGTTTCAGTAATCAAGATATTGAAGACTGATTTATATTAATTAATTCTGCAATTTGATTTTAATGAAAAATCAAGTAAATGTGGTACATATTAAATAATTAATGCATTACACAACTGTACTTTTATATGTTGGTTTTATAAATGTTAAAGGTTTGAAGACTATTTTATGATGAGAGAAAGACAAGAACTACAAAATGGATATTTTGAAGACTTCTTTTTTTTAAATAATACAATAAATATAGAATGGATAAAAAAAACCCCGGTATATCTTGCGTTGCTTTATACGAGGGGCATTTCAAAAGTTCTGGCAACTGGTATATAAAATTTTAACTACGTTACGGATTAAAATGACTCTGATACCACTGTAAAGCTTAGGCAAATATGGATTAGTAGTGACGTCATTTTACATTCAAAATGACGTATAGGTCTGCTAAAATGACGTCATAATTAGGTATACTCTGTATACTGGACATAAAAATGACTGATAAGGAGAACAATTTTTTTGTTGAGCAAAGAGCGTATTGCAAAATTCGCTCATTGCTTGGCTTTACGGCAACAGAAATAAAAGCCGATTTAGATGTAGTATATAGAGAGCATGCTCTTTCATATCGAGCAATAGCAAGATGGGTAGTTCAATTTAAAGAGGGTAGAAAATCAATTGAAGATGACCCCCGTTCGGGGCGTCCAGTTTGTGCATATGGCGAAAAAGAAATCGTTGCTGTTCAAAATACGATGGCTGATGATGCTAGATATACAGTTGAGGAAATAGCAGACTTAACTAACATTAATTCGTCAGCAGTTTTTTGTATTTTAAAGGAAAACTTAAAGCTTAGGAAAGTCTGTGCTAGATGGGTGCTTCATCTTCTCTCGGAAGAGCAAAAGCGCATACGGGTAGAAATGGCTTCACAGTTACTAACAATTTATGAAGATTGTGACCAAAGGTGAATAAATGAGATTGTTACTGTTGATGAAACATGGATATATTTTTTTGAACCGGAAACTAAGCTCAATAATAAAGTTTGGATCGGTGAAAATGATACAAGGCCTCAAAGAGGACTGTGGGGCAGCATTTTCCACATGGATTTCAAGACTGAAAAAGCGTGTCCAGGTCAACGGAGACTATTTTGAGGGATTGATATAATTTAATTTATGATAATGACGCTCATTAATTTACCACACACCAGTTGCCAGAACTTTTAAAATGCCCCTCGTAAAGTATCACATCTGATCATTCGAAAACAATTTCTTCAATATATATCCCTATTTAGAAAATATATCTGTGTGTGTATATATATATATATATATATATATATATATATATATATATATATATATATATATATAAATATATATATAAATATAAATATATATATATATATATATATATATATATATATATATATATATATATATATATATATATATATATATATATGAACTGTGAATGCATTATATTTAGTGTGTACAATATTTGGCAGAAATTGATTCATTAATAAATAAGGCTAGTTTTGATTTAGTACATTTCTGAATGTGCTAGATATATAATTAAGGAATGTTTTCTAAGTTCTGTGTGAGTTATTGGTGTGTAAATCACAGAGACTTGTCACGTAGGCATATTTCATGAAGCATGTTAGCGCTTCATGAAAAATATGCGTACGTGCAAGTCTGTGTGATTTACACACCAATAACTCACACAGAACTTAAAAACATTCCTTATATTTACAATTTACATGCATAAATGCACCAAAATAATACTCAATGTTTGAATTTCTCGCTGCCCTATATCGTCATGTTTTTATTAACGTCTCTGTAGCCTCATTTTGACATCACTTTAGCACAAGTTTCTCCAAGTATATTTCTACGCGTGAGTATACACAAAAATGGCTTTCAAATAAATTTTACAGTTGGCTTAGTAGAAAAATACAGCAAATGTAAATATATATAAATGCAAAGATATTTAGCTATGTACTTGATTTACCGGATGATGCTTTCTGCCAAAAGTACTAAAAAGAATAAAGAATATACAGCCAAATGTGATACGTTTACATGTCAA